CAGAAAAAAAAATTGTGGAGTATGGTTTTAAAAAATTATTTAATGGAAAATATGCAACAGTTTAATTTCAAAGACTATGATCACATTTAGAATAGACATTTGCATACAGTAGATATTCTGGCTACACAATTCATAGGATGCATGTACATTCTAAGTCAGTGACAATCACAATGTACTCTAACTCAAAAACATGGGATATGTGGGTCCAGAAATCAAGGCTTGTTGGTAGAAGCAGCCCTGTGTAATGTCATGCCCAGTGAGCCAATTTGGCAGTATTTGCTTCAGGTCTCCTCCAGTCTGGTCTCAGCAGGTTTAGAAGTCTTGAGACCTAAAAGAGTAGCACTTCCAGATACATGGCCAAGGTCCTATTGAAGTTATCCAGGTGCCTGGCACTTGAGGTCTGTTATGCCAGAAAGAGGAGACACCCTCTTGGCAGAGTTAACTGACCCTGGTCATCAGTGTCATTGTGTGAGCATGGCAGTGGGCATGCACTGGTATCCAGCTGTGATCAGTCAGTGGGTTGGAGCAGCCAGGAGTATCCTCAGAGGAAATATGGTGGTGAATACAGATAGCTGTCAGGCAGTTATGCTCCCCCAGCAGAAGACCTGAGTGGGTAAGTGAGTCAGCTTCGTTTAGCTGAGGACAGTTCTCAGCAGGCTAAAGGCTGAGAGCTGTTAGATGGCTGTACTCCCTGAACCTGGAGAATAAGCCATAATTCTGAAGGGAAAAGTGGGTGACTCAACACAGGGTTTACTATAATCCACCTCATTAGCATTTTTAAAGATTTTATTTATTCACTCAGAGAGAGAGAGAGAGAGAGGCAGAGACACAGGCAGAGGAAGAAACAGGCTCCATGCAGGGAGCCTGACGTGGGACTCAATCTAGGGTCTCCAGGATCACGCCCTGGGCTGAAGGCGGCGCTAAACCACTGAGCCACCCGGGCTGCCCCCCATTAGCAACACTATGTACAGTGTCCATGAAAGTGTATTTGTGATTCATGAAGGTCAGCAGTTGGGAAGGACTGTCCTTAGGAAGTAGGAGCCACAGTGAGAACTGAAGGACTGTAGGATCGGTGCTGACAATACCAAGTGCAGCTTTGACTCTCCTTTTTGCTCATGTTCCAGTGATGACATCTCTTAGGGCTACCTGTTCTGGGCCCTTGGAGACTAATACAGCCAAGGCCAGGATGGGGATAGGCTTGCTTTGGTCCCCTGTAAATTTGTTAAAGATACCATAGTCTCTCCCCTTTGTGACAGACAGGGGGCACCATAAAATCTAATTAAAGTTTAGCTGTCAATTAGGTGCATGTGAAACTTTTAATTTCACTACAGTTCCCCTCCCCCCCCTTGCCCCAGGGGTGGGGGAAGCATCCTATTGATCTACAAAATTTGTAGAGTAAGGTCTGAATTTTGCAGAGAATAGCTGTGCCGCACCTGGATTGTCACTCAACTGATCCCCCCCCCATATAATAAAATAGGATTCCTATATACTCTTTACTTTTTCTATTAGCACTTATCAGAAACTCCATTATTACTCTTTATTTATATATATTTTCTTTCTCCCAATAAAACGTAAATTCTATGAACATTGGCCCTCATTTTGTTTCAAATGTCATACCAGTACATAGAATCTAGCAGTTAATAAATGTATAAATGCATGCATTAGCCAATCACACTAATGTTAATAGTAGAATTAGAATGGTCTTTGGAGTTCAGACCTGTCTAACATTAGATCTGTCGCTCATCAGTTTTTGTCTAATACTAAATATTACATACACAAACTGAGTATTTATCACTGGATTAAATTTGTACAGTGTATTACTCTTTGAAAGGAATCTACTCAAAAGCCACTCCCCACTACCCCCCCACCAAGCTTACAGGTAAAACTGACAGTTATCTGCACTTGGCCCTAACTTTTTTTTTTCCAGCTCATAGTGCCCTAAATTCTCAGAAAGTAGATCCCAACTACAAAACATATTCTCTAGCCTGACCACAACCCACATCTCAAATGAGCCCTGGACAGAGCCCCTCAAAAACCTGCCACCTCCTGCTCTATTTGGCTAAGAGTTGACCCCCTTCCCATACCCACCATGGGCACAGCTGCAACCCTGTCACACCCTTCAAAATACTTTATGAGGCCCAGACTGACAGAAACTTGGAGTCTAGGGGGTAAATGTATGTATATGTGCGTGTGTTAATTGTTTTCTGGCAAGCACTAACACAATACCCAAGGGAACTAAAAAGACTTAAGCACAAAAAGATACACATGAATTTTCATAGCAATATTCCTCCTAATACCCACAGGGGGCGCCTGGCTGGCTTAGTCCATAGAACCTGCAACTCTTGGTCTCAGGGTGGTGGAGTTCAAGCCCCACTTTGGGCATAGAGCATACATTTAAAAACACACACACACACACTCCTAGTAACCACAAAATGAAACAACCCAAGTGTTCATCAACTGATGAATAAATAAAATGTAACATACCCGTACAATGGAATATCATTCACCAATAAAAAGAAATGATGGGGGTGCCTGGGTGGCTCAGTTGGTTAAACTGCCAACTCTTGATTTTGGCTCAGGTCATGATCTCAGGGTCCTGGGATTAAGCTCCGAGTCAGCCTCTGTGCTCAGTGAGGAGTCTGCCTGAGATTCTCTCTCTCTCCCTTTTCCTCTGCCTCTCCTCCTACACAAGCATGCACAGGCACATGCTCTCTCAAATAAATAAATAAAATCGTTGTATACTACAAAGCATATGAACCTTGAAAGGCATACTAAGTGAAAAGAAATCATTGACAAAAGACTGTATGATTTCATTTCCATGAAATGACTATACAATACAAATCAATAGAGAAAAAAAGATTTGTGGATGTTTAGATGTTAGGGAAGAGGAAAATAAGGTTGGACAGCCAAGGATGCTTGCAGAGTGATGTAAAGGTTCTAAAATGCAATGCTTGCATCACTCTTCGAACATGCTAAAAAAAACATGGACCAGTATACTTTTAAAAGAGTAAAATTTTGGGGATCCCTGGGTGGCTCAGCAGTTTGGTGCCTTCCTTCAGCCCAGGGCGTGATCCTGAGGTCCTGGGATCGAGTCCCACATCGGGCTCCCTTTGTGGGGCCTGCTTCTCCCTCTGCCTGTGTCTCTGCCTCTCTCTCTGGGTCTCTCATGAATAAACAAATTTTTAAAAATCTTTTTTAAAAAGTAAACTGATACACGAATTATATCTCAATATAGCTGTTGCAAAACACAAAATCATAATAGCTACATAATTCATAAAAAATTAATGTCCCTGAAGAACCTTGAGCAGAACCGTTAACTGCCATTATATTTTTACTGCTCAATTACCACTCAGTATAAAATTATAGTAAAAAAAGCGATATGACCCTAAGTATATATTGCTGTCATAGAAAAATCTAGAAACTAACACAAGTGTATATAGACTATTCCACTATTTAATAAAAGTGGAATTTCAGATAAGTATGTCAAGGATAGTTTAACAATAAAACTATTTCCTTTTCTGGAGAAAAAGTAAAAATGGACCCATTATCCCACACCACACACTAAAATACAAGCTTGGAGGAATAAATATTAAAATGTCATTAAAACTAACACATTAAGAAAGAAAATAGGAAATCTGTATGTAATCTAGATTTTGAAGAGAATGTTTCAAGGCAAGGCAAAAAAGATTTTTTTCAAAAGACTCCCTTAGCTACCTGAAAATGAAATACGTTAAATACGTTATACAGAAAGAAACATGAATGCAGCAAAACAGTTATGAATTCAAGAGATGCGTAAAACATACTTGATAACACACATAAACCATTCTCAGTAAATGTGCTAACAAACCAGGATCTAAAAAGACTATTATTTTTTATAAATATATTTTTAAGACTTTATTTATTTATTCATAGAGATGCAGAGAGAGAGAGAGAGAGGCAGAGACACAGGCAGAGGGAGAAGCAAGCTCCATGCAGAGAGCCCGACGTGGGACTCGATCCCGGGACTCCAGGATCACGCCCTGGGCTGCAAGCGGCGCTAAATCGCTGCGCCACCGGGGCTGCCCTAAAAAGACTATTATTAACTCCACCACTACCACCCACTGAAATCCACATCACTCATGAAACTTTTTTGAGCTTGGCAGAAAGTTTAGAACCATAGCTAAATAACTGAAAATGCCTGGAATTGATGCTGTTCCATACAACTTAGTATGGGAAGCCCTGGATTGTATGGAAAAATCTGAAAAATAAAAAACAGAAACAAATGCAAGTGTATATAAAAGAATTTACTATATTAACAAGAATGGAATTTCAAATGAATATGTCAAGCAAGGATAGCTTATGCATAGGTAATATTACAGTAGGGTTTGTTTATTAAGTAAAAGGAAAAATTAATCTCACACCACCATTCCACTAAAATACATCCTTAAAATGTCACTGAAAGTAATACATTTAAGGGGGCCTGGGTGGCTCCGTGGTTGAGCCCTGCCTTTGGCTCAGGTCGTGATCCCAGGGTCCTGGGATTGAGTCCTGCATCAGGATTCCTACAGGGAGCTTGCTTCTCCTTCTGCCTCTCTCTGTGTCTCTTATCAATAAAGTCTTTACCAAAAAATACATTTAGAAAATTAGGAAATCTGTACAGAATCTAGGGTTTGAGGAGAATTTTTAAGGTAAAGCGGGCACCCCACCCCAAATTACTTAAGAAAGCATCCTCTGAGGCAAGCCCCTGCCCTCTGTCCCCACCTTAGCCCTCCAGACTCCAACACAGCACAGGCCTGGCTCCAGCCCCACCCTATCCCCTGGCATCTGTCCCTGCCCTCTGCGCCCGTCCTGGACCCTCCGCACACACAGAGGACCAAACTACGATTTCCCAGCGTGAAAGCGTCTTAGGGGGCCTGCGGTCCCAGCTGGAGCCCCGCGCCTACCGCGAGACGCAGGAAGCGGAAGTGACGTCACTGGCTCCCCGCGGTCTCTGGACGGCTGCGCAGCTCCTGCGACGGAGACTTGTTGGCTGTCGTCCGGCTGAGCTGTCGGTGAGGCCACATCCAAGGAAAGCCCGGATGTAAGGAGGGCGTTAATTTTTTTTTTTAAGATTTATTTATTTGTTTGTTTGTTTATTTATTTATTTATTTATTTATTTATTTATTTATTCAGAGAGAGAGAGAGGCAGAGACACAAGCAGAGGGAGAAGCAGGATCACTGTGGGGAGCCCGAGGTGGGACTCGATCCCGGGACTCCAGGATCACACCCCGGGCTTCAGGCGGCGCTAAACCGCTGCGCCACCGGGGCTGCCCAAGGACGGCGTTAAAGGACAGGTGCGCCCAGTCTCCAAGGGGCCTTTGTAGGGGGCCACGTTCCCTGAGCTCGCGCCTTTCGCGGCCGTTCGTGCCCCCATTGGGCAGGGCCCGGAGGTGCGGCGGAGGGCGCGCCTGCGGAGTGTTTTGGAGCCACGGTGCCTCCTTGTTCAGACGCTTCAAGTAACCTTTTTTGACTCTTTTCCAGGAGGAAGCGACTTTCCGCTGAGCGAGGCAGGTGGCCCCGGCCGGGCCCTGCGGTTCTCAGGACTCTGGTGCTCCTGGCTTGTTCCGGTGAGCACTGGGGGAGCGTTGGTTCAATGGGCCTTTCCTCCTCTCCTAACCAAGAGGTTTCTGGGAAGCATTTGACCTTGTCTTTGCCTTTTTTTTTTTTTGAAGTTACCTACAGGTAGAAAGAAAAGAGACTTGTTAGGTTCAAGGGTGTGCATTTTTCTGTACATAAATACAAACATGTGTGAACCATAAATCATTCTTCTAGATGAAAGTAAGAATACTCTGCTTTTGGTACTCGGAACATCCTGGGCCGGTGCATCCCCGACAAACCAACACAAAAAGGACCTCCGGGAGAAAAAGATGGGGGCTTTATGACGCTACTTTTGGAATAATGGAGTTTACCCTTAAAGAGATGTTTAGACTAAGTGGTTTTTCCCCTTAATTTTCCTTCTCTAAAACCTGAAACTTTGAGCAAAATTTGAACACGCATAATAAATCAGAGAAATACAATTACATGGTTTCACTCATGTGGAATATAAGAAACAATGCAGAGGATCATAGGGGAAGGGAGGAAAAAATGAATGGGAAGTCATCAGAGAGGGAGAAGAACCATGAGAGACTCTTAACTAGGGAACAGGGTTGACAGAGGGGAGGTGGGTGGGGGATGGAGTAATTGGGTGATGGGTAGTAAGGAGAGCATGTGATGTGATGACCACTGGGTGTTATATACAACTGATGAATTGTTGAACTCTACATTGGAAACTAATGATGTCTATATGTTGACTAATTGAATTTGAATTAAAAAAATCTTTTTGAAAAAAAAAAATTGAACATCCAGTACAGCGAATGTCTGTTATAGTGGTTTCACTTCTTTTTACCATTTTGCATGTTTGCTCTCTCTGTAGGTAACTGAGTGCATTTTATGTTGAACTGAGAGCATAAGTTAAAAATTAAATGCATACATCATACTTGACCTTTAAATACTTGGTAATGTATCTTGTAAAAATAAACACATCCTACTAAAAGCATGTTCTTTCTTTGACCCAGGAAAATTAAAGACGATAATGCCATCTTTACGACTACTCTGTGTACAAGCTGAACTTCCCCCACAGTGTTCTAATTTATATTTTTGGTGATTTTTGGACCGAGAACCCAGTCATGGTTTATATATGGTGATTTTTTTCAGCCTTTTAGCCTTTTTTAACCTATACTATTCCCTGTTGTTTATACATTATAGTGACTTTTTATGAGTCATCTATATTCTTTTAGGAAGTCACACATTTTGAAATTTTGGACTTTATTTTCGCAGTATATTTAGGTGTTTCTTCCATTTCTTGTATTTTCTGTCAACTGGTAATTGGGTCCAGACTAGAGGGTGGCAAAACGTTTTCTCTGAAAAGGTCCAGAAAGTAATTACTTGATGCTCTCTCTACAGGCCATAAGATGTCAGAATGACTCACCTTTTCCTTTGTCCTGTGCAAGCAGTCACAGAACTGAGGCAACAAACAGGTAGGTGTGTTCCAAGAAAACTGTTTACCAGTCAGGCCTATGACCGACCAAATTGTGCCAGTTCCTGCTGTAGAGGCTTCAAAACATCACTTCCAAATACTCGATAGGTACTGTTTTGTGCATCAAGTTGCATTCTTTTTTTTTTTAAAGGATTTTATTTATTTATTCATGAGAGACACAGAGAGAGAGGCAGAGACACAGGCAGAGGGAGAAGCAGGCTCCATGCAGGGAGCCCAATGTGGGATTAGATCCCAGGACTCCAGGTTCACGCCCTGAACCAAAGGCAGATGCTCAACCACTGAGCCACCCAGGCATCCCAATCAAGTTGCATTCTTTCAGGAACACTTAAATTTATACCATCCCTCGGATGCCAGGCTTGATTGCTTGCTTGTTAGTGATCACCAGAGCACTCTGTTTTAAAGATAGACTTTTCCTTTGGCATAAGAAAAGTCACATATGGGATGTGATTTTGATATGTGAAAAGTTATATATGGGATGAGACTCAGAATATCTTATGTCACAGGACTCTTTCTAACAATTGCTTCATTTCTGTTAATATGTGCATGATAAACTTTTGTATATAATTTTTGTGGGGATGTGTTTCAAGGTAAGGGTAAGCTTTTCAGCTTGGTTTTCTCAGTCAGGACAAGTATACATACTTTTTGGTGGATACTGTAAATTCTGTTAGATAATTCTTGTGACACAGAGCAGTTTGTGAATCACCTATTTAAGAACTTCTAAAAATTATGGAGAAAAATAAGGAATAAATTTATTTTTATTGCTTATATACTTGCTTCAAAAAGAATATCCTGGGAATCCCTGGGTGGCTCAGCGGTTTGGCACCTGCCTTTGGCCCAGGGAGTGATCCTGGAGTCCCGGGATCGAGTCCTGAGTCAGGCTCCCTGCATGGAGCCTGCTTCTCTTTCTGCCTGTCTGTGTCTCTGCCTCTCTCTGTGTCTTTCATGAATGAATGAATGAATGAATAAATCTTAAAAAAAAAAGAATATCCTATCCATTTTTATCTGCCTTCGCACCAGTATAGTATTTTGCTTTATCTTGTATTGTGTGGGACTTAAATGGTTTTCCTGTTGTAACTCTATTTTTGTTTTCCTTTTCTTTTTACGTACCATACTATAATGCTTTTGGTGGTGAGTTGCAATTGTTGCATGTTCCACAAAGGGTCATTGAATTCCTTTAAAAGGAATTAATTCCTGTTAAAACTAGGTTGTGTGGCAGGGACAGGGAAACAATGGCCATCAAAACAGACGTAGTACTTGCCACCACAGGGCTTACAGTCTACCTGGGAATACAGGTTTCAGATGAATTACTGGCACATTTATGACAGGAACATAGAATGGGTTAATATGAGGTGGTAATATCTATTGGGAAGGACTGATATTTACGTCGTGAAGGGAAACGTGAGTGGGATTTACCTAAGCAGGTTTTTTATTAGGGCTGAGGATTTGTAGAACAGATAAAAATGTCAGATGAAGGGAACTTTATGAGCAAAATATACCTAGTTGGAAGCTTAGTGTATTTCTGGAACTGAGGCAAGAGTGTTGGCAGAAGATGAGCAGAAAGCAAGTGTTGGGAGATAGAGTGGAGAGCAAGGACAGGACTAGGGGAACAAGTGAGGCAGTCTAGCCAATATTCTAAGGTCAGGGACACTTCAGAAGTGCCAAAGCCTAGGAATGATTTGATTCCATTTACAACTTAAATAGAATCCACTAACTTCCACTTTGAGAATGAACTTCAGGAAAAATGAAAATGAGGGCACAGAGTCAGGATAGAATCTTAGGATGCGGCCCACCTGGGTGGCTCAATGGTTGAGCGTCAGCCTTTGGCTCAGGTGTGATCCCATTGTCCTGGGATCAAGTCCCATATCGGGCTCTTTGCGTGGAGCCTGCTTCTCCCTCTGCCTTTCTCTTCTGTCTGTCATGAATAAATAAATAAAATATTTTTTTAAAAAAGGATCTTAGGATGCATGAGTTGGATTTTTTTGTTTTTTAGAATGGATACGTTTTAAAACATGGGCCCCTTGGTCCCCTGGATGAGGATGATTATTATTATTTTTTTTTATGATAGTCGCACAGAGAGAGAGAGAGAGAGAGAGAGAGGCAGAGACACAGGTAGAGGGAGAAGCAGGCTTCATGCACCGGGAGCCCGACGTGGGATTCGATCCCGGGTCTCCAGGACCGTGCCCTAGGCCAAAGGCAGGCGCTAAACCGCTGCGCCACCCAGGGATCCCGAGGATGATTATTACAGAAAAGAAAAATAAATGATTTGAGAGTCTTGTAGAAGGTAAAAGTAAAATAATTTCTTCACTTACACATTTACTGAAGGATATACCCTCACTTAGTTAATGCTTGAGTGTTTGATTAGTGTTTAGGGAAAAAATAAAATCCAGGGCAGTTCTTAGCGAACTTGTAAACTATTAGAGGGGGTGAACATCTATCCAAGAGTCGACTGATTTGTGAGCATTTATTAAGTGTCTACAATGTGCTCAGGTGTGTTTTGAGGTACTTCCATGGTATTTTCCATAGTGCTGCACCAATTTACATTCCCTCCAACAGTATGCAAGGATTCCCTTTTCTCCACAGTCTTACCCACAGTTGTTATTTCTTATGTTTGTATTTATTTATTTATGATTTCATTTATTTATTCACAAAAGACACACAGAAAGAGAGGCAGAGACACAGGCAGAGGAGAAGCTGGCTCCATGCAGGGAGCCTGATGTGGGACTCAATCCCAGGATTCCGGGATCATGTCCTGAGCCAGAGGCAGACACTCAACTGCTGAGCCACCCAGACATACCTCTTATGTTTTTAATAATAGCCATTCTAACAGGTATGAGATGATAACCTCAGTTTTGATTTATGATTGTAAATTGTTTTAATTTTTTTTAAGATTCTCTGTTTATTCATGAGAGACACAGAAAGAGAGGCAGAGACATAGGCAGAGGGAGAAACAGGTTCCCTGCAGAGAGCCCGATAACGGGACTCAATCCCAGGACCCCAGGATCATGACCTGAGCCAAAGGCAGGCACTCAATCACTGAGCCACCCAGGTACCCCTTAATTTCTCTTTCTGAAAGGTCATTAGTGCAGAGAAATAAAACAGACTTTTTTCTTAAGATTTCTTTTTGTTTATTTGAGAGAGAGAGAGCATGAGCAGGGGGAGGGGCAGAGGGAGGGAGAGGGAGAGGGAGAGGCAGACTCCCCACAGAGCAAGGAGCCTGATGCAGGGCTCAATCCCAGGACCCCAGGATCATGACCTGAGCCGAAGACAGTAACCACCTGAGCCACCCAGGCACCCTGGAACAGACTTTTTTATATTGATTCTATATCCTGCAGCTTTACTGAGTTTGTTTATTCTAACAGTTTTTTGGTGGTATCTTTAGGGTTTTCTCTATGTAATATCATGGCAGAGAGCAACAGTCTTTCCAATTTACAAGCCTTTTCTATTTCCTGCAAGCTAGAACATCCAATACTATGTTGAATAAAAGTGGCAAGAGTGGACATCCTCATCTTTCTCCAAATATTGGAGGAAAAGCTTTTGGCTTTTCACCATTAAGTATGGTGTTAGTTGTGAGGTTTGTCATATGTGGCATTTATTATGTTGAGGTATGTTTCATCTGTACACTTTGTTGAGAATTTTATTATAAATCAATGTTGAAGTTTGTCAAATATTTTTTCCTTCATTAATGTAGTATATCACCCATAACTGATTTCTAGATGTTAAATAATGCCTCCCTGGAGTAAGTCCCACTTGATCATGATGTATAATCCTTTTTTTTAATTTTTATTTATTTATGATAGTCACACACACACAGAGAGAGAGAGAGAGAGAGGCAGAGACATAGGCAGAGGGAGAAGCAGGCTCCATGCACCGGGAGCCCGACGTGGGATTCGATCCCGGGTCTCCAGGATCGCGCCCTGGGCCAAAGGCAGGCACTAAACCGCTGCGCCACCCAGGGATCCCTTTTTTTTAATAAAGATTTATTATTTTAGAGAGAGAGTAGGGGGAGAGGGAGAGAAAGTATTAAGCAGATTCTGTGCTGAGCTTGGACCTGGAAGTAGGGCTTAATCTCACGACCCTGAGATCATGACCTGAGCCTAAACCAAAAGTCAGACACTTAACTGACTGTGCCACCCAGGCACTCTGATGTATGTATGATCCTTTCAGTGTATTGTTGACTTTGCTAATATTTTGTTAAGGATTTTTGCACATCTCTTCACCAGGAATAGATATTGGCCTGTGATTTTCCTTTCTTGTGGCATCCTTATCTGGTTTTGGTACCAGGATAATACGGGCCTCCTAACAAATTTGCAAATATTCCCTCTTTCATTTTTTAGGACAGTTTGAGAAAGATTGGTATTCATTCTTATTTGAATGTTTGGTATAATTCACAGTGAAGCCATCTTGTGGATTTTGTAGAAATTTTATTCCTGGGATCCCTGGGTGGCGCAGCGGTTTGGCGCCTGCCTTTGGCCCAGGGCACGATCCTGGAGACCCGGGATCGAATCCCATATCGGGCTCCTGGTGCATGGAGCCTGCTTCTCCCTCTGCCTGTGTCTCTGCCTCTCTCTCTCTCTCTCTCTGTGACTATTATAAATAAAAATTAAAAAAAAAAGAAATTTTATTCCTGATTCTCCTCACTAGTCTAATAATGAATCTTTTGAGATTTTCTGAATCAATCTTGGTAGGTTAAATGTTGTCTCCAGTAAGGAAGATGTGGTTTGTATATACAATGGAATATTACTCAGTCTTTAGAAACGACAAATACCCACCATTTGCTTCAACATGGATAGAACTGGAGGGTATTATGCTGAGTGAAGTAAGTCAGTTGGAGAGGAACAAACATTATATGGTCTCATTCATTTGGGCAATCTAAAAAAATAGTGAAAGGAAATAAAGGGGAAAGGAGAGAAAATGATTGGGAAATATCAGAGAGGGTGACAAACCTGAGAGACTCCTAACTCTGGGAAACGAACAAGGGTTAGTGGAAAGGGCGGTGGGCGGGGGTACAGGGTGACTGGGTCACAGGCACTGAGGGGGACACTTGATGGGATGAGCACTAAGTGTTATGCTATATGTTGGCAAATTGAACTCCAATAAAAAAAAACTACAAAAAAAAATGTTGTCTCCAGGAATTTCACCACTTCTTGTTTTTCCAATTCACTGACATCTAACTAACTTGTTTTTTGTAGGTTCTTGAGGTGATTTGAGATTTTGTTTCATGATGTTACATTTATTGCTTCCCTCCTAGAACTTCTTTTTTCTGCATCCCATAAGTTTCGGTTTTTATTTATCTCAAGGTATTTCTTTTTCCTCTTGATTTCTTCTTTGACCCATTGATTAATAAGTAAAAGCACATTTTTTTTTAAATAATGGCTTGAAAGCTTCCCAAATCTTTTTTTTTTTATTTATTTTTATTTTTTATTTATTTATGATAGTCACACACACACACACACAGAGAGAGAGAGAGAGGCAGAGACACAGGCAGAGGGAGAAGCAGGCTCCATGCACCGGGAGCCCGATGTGGGATTCGATCCCGGGTCTCCAGGATCGCGCCCTGGGCCAAAGGCAGGCGCTAAACCGCTGCGCCACCCAGGGATCCCTAAAAGCACATTTTTATATCTCCACTCCCCACCCCCCCAGCCAGTTTTCTTGTAACTGACTTCTAGTTCCATAGCATTGTAGTTGGAAAAGAAGATGCCTGATAGGATTTTAATCTATTTAAATTCACTAAGACTTGTTTTATGGCTGACATATCTATCCTGGAGAATGTTCCATGTGTGTTTGAAGAATATGTTTTGTTGCTTTCGGATGGAATATTCTGTATATATCTTAAGTATATTTGGTTTAACATGTCGATTAAGGTCAGTATGTTCTTATTGATTTTGTGTCTAGATACCTATTGATTAAAGTAGGATGCTGAAGTTCTCTAATATTATTGTATTGCTATATATTTAGGCCTGTTAATATTTGCTTTATATGTAGGTGCTTTTATGTTGGGTGAATACATATTTACAAATGTCCTATCCTCTTGCTGATTGAACCTTTGATCATTTTGTAGTGGCCTTTATTTCTTGTTACAGTCTTTGTATTAAAGTCTATTTTGTCTGATTATGCTACCCCAGGTTTCTTTTTGCATGGAATATCTTTTTCCATCTGTTTTATGCCAGTCTTGGCCTATTAATAAGCAGTGTTGTAGTTGAACTATTCTACTTTCTTTGTATGTATGTATTTATTTTAAAATAGGCTCCACACCTAGCACGGAACCCAACGTGGGGCTTGAATTCCCAACCCAGACATCAAGACCTGAACTGAGATCAACTTGGATGCTAAACCAACTGAGCCTTTCAGGTCCCCCTCTGTTTTTTATTCAAATACATGGCCCATTTTTCAGCCTTTTTTCTATAAAATAAGCATTTGAAACTTTGGCTATCTCTGTTGCTAGAGCTGAATCTCTAACAAAGTTTGCATAATTAGTAAATGTTACTTTTTAATTATAAATATTTAATTTGCACTACAGTGTGTACTTTGACATCAATTGTTTCAAAATACATTTCCATCATATGTTGTATTTTTAATATTTTTGTTATTTTTTTAAGATTTTATTTATTTATTCATGAGAGACAGAGAGAGAGAGAGAGGCAGAGACACAGGCAGAGGGAGAAGCAGGCTCTATGCAAGGAACCCGATGCAGGACTTGATCCCAGGACTCCAGGACCACGCCCTGGGCTGAAGGCAGGCGCTAAATCACTGAGCCACCCAGGCATCCCAATGTTTTTGTTATTGATTGTAACCAAGCTTCATTGTCATTACAGAATTATATTAATCTTTTGAGATGTTTGAGATATTCTTTCTGGCCCTGTATGTGGTCCGTTTTCAGAAGGGTTCCATGCAAGCTTGAAAAGAATGTTTGCAAGCAGCAGTGCTCTGTGTCTCTGGGTCCAGCTGATTAATTGTTTTGCTCAGGCCTTTGTGGTTATTGAACATTTGTCTATTCTGTTCCAGATAGAGTTGTATAAAAAATGTTCCACTCTAGTGGTAGCTTTTATTTGATCCATTTTTTAAAAGGTTTTATTTATTTCAGAGAGAGAGAGAGAGAGAGAGAGAGAGCAAGCATGAGTAGGGGGAGGGGCCAAGGGAGAAGCAGACTCCCGGATGAGCAAGGAACCCAATGTGGGGCTCAACCCCCAGACCCTGGTATCATGACCTGAGCTGAAGGCAGATGCTCAACAGACTGAGCCACCCAGGTGCTCTGATGTTTCCTGTTTTTTGAAAGCTGTGTTATATTAGCTGTATACCATTTTGGAATTGCTGAAGCTTTTTGGTGAATTAACTTTTTTTTTAAAGATTTTATTTATTTATTCATGAGAAACAGCGAGACAGAGAGGTAGAGACCCAGGCAGAGGGAGAAGCAGGCTCCATGCAGGGAGCCTGATGTGGGACTTGATCCCAGGTCTCCAGGGTCATGCCTTGGGCCAAAGGCGGCGCTAAAACGCTGAGCCACCTAGGCTGCCCAGGTGAATTAACTTTTAATATTGTGAGTAACCAAGTATCTCTATAAATGCCCATTTCATTAAAATTTCTATCAGATTTTTATGTATCTTTGTCATATTGTTTCTCCTGTATTTCTTTTTTTTTTTAAGATTTTATTTATTTATTCATGAGAGACACGGAGAGAGAGAGGCAGAGACACAGGCAGAGGGAGAAGCAGGCTCCATGCAGGGAGCCTGATGTGGGACTCGATCCCGGAACTCCAGGATCACACCTTGGGCCAAAGGCAGGCGCTAAACCACAGAGCGACCCAGGGATCCCCTCTCCTGTATTTCTCAACCTGATTTCTTAAACTTTTAAAAACATAGAGCTGTCATTTAAAAACTCTGGATCCTAAATAAAATTCTCATTTTGAAATACAGGCACTTAGGTAGTAAAAATAGGACATATGTACCTGTATATCTTTCACCCACCTTTCCATAAGGTTAATATCTTAAGTAACCATAGTATAATTACTGAAACTAGGAAATTAACATTGATAAAGTACTATCAACTAATCTCCAAACCTTAATCAAACTTTGTTTTGTTTGGCCTGTTTTGGAGCCGTAATGTATTCAGAATCACACATTGCACTAATACTGATAATTTTTAAATCCACAATAACAATCCTTATCATATAGTGGAGTCATTTAGTCCATTTATTTGTAATGTAATTACTGATATTTGGATTTAATTCAGTTATCAACTGTATGCTTTTCATTTGTCTTATTTTTTTTTCTTTGAATTCCAATATTTCCTCTTATTTTTCCTCTTGGTGTCTAAAATTTATACACTGCATTATATTGAAAGCCTATTATTAGGTTAAAAAAAAAAAGAATTAGCTAGTCCTGGGAGGGGCAGTCTCTCCAGGCAGCAAGACCTCAAAGATGTTAAAGCAATATAATACATAGAAAACTTAAGGCTAAATAAATAAATAAATAATTAATTTAAAAAAACTTAAGTCATGATTAATACAATGGTTAAACCAATGTCCAGACACAGTGGTTTCCTCTAGGATGGAGGATGATTCAAGATGGAAAAGATTCACATGGGTAAGGTAATCTTCCATTTCTTTATCTGGAAGGTAGATACCTATGGACACACTATTTTGTAGTTTATTAGCAGCACTTATACATTTTCACACAATTATCTGTATGTATGCTAGAATTATAAAATTTAAGAATGGAAAAAAAAAAAAGGAGTGCCTGGGTGACTCAGTCAGTTAAGCATCTGACTTCAGCTCAGATCATGATCTCAAGGTCCTGGGATCAAGCCCCATGTTGGGCTCTCCACTCAGCAGGCAGTCAGTCGGCTGGTCTCTCTTCCTCTCCTGCCTCTCCCTGTTCATGCTCTTTCACTGTATTTCTTTTACCAGAATGGGGGAAGGGGATCACAAAACAGCACTAAAATAATGTAGTAGAGGTGGGGTGCCTGGCTGGCTCAGGAGAGCATGCAACTCTTGATCTTAGGGTCTTGAGTTTGAGCCCCACATTGCAGAGTAGAGTTTACTTTAAAAAAAAAAAAAAAAGGAGGAGGAGGAGGAAAAGCAGAAGAGTCAAAGAGATGATAGTATGAGATAGACTTGAACTGATATTGCTGACCTTCAAGAAGGAAAAAAGATCCACACAGAAAGGAAAGCAGAAGCCATCTAGAAGCTGGAAAAAGGAAACAGATTCACCCCCTCGAGCCTCCAGGGAGAAATATGGTCCTATTAACATCTTGATTTTAGTTGACTGAGACCCTTTTCATACAGACCGTGAGGTCAAAGAGAAGTACCAATCTTTATTTAGGATGGGGCAAGGTAAAAAAAAGATGAACAATCTATATATTTCTCAGAAATCTATTCCAAGAAGACTTTGGCACACCCTGTTCTATAAAGCCAGCTTTTGAAAGGTCCCCAATACCTTTGATGGTTAAATCCCATCCTCATTCAACTCACCCAATCAGCATTTGGTATAGTTGATTAGTCACTGATCCTTGCCTTGGATTCATGGCCACCAGTCTTTTTTTTTTTTTAAGATTTTATTTATTCATAAAAGACACACAGAGAGAGGCAGAGACACAGGCAGAGGGAGAAGCAGGCTCCACGCAGGGAACCCGACATAGGACTCGATCCTGGGTCTCCAGGATTGTGCCCGGGCTTAAGGTGGCGCTAAACCGCTGAGCCACCAGGGCTGCCCAATGGCCACCAGTCTTAATTCTATTCCTATTTCATGGGCCATGACTTCTCAATTCACTTGTTAGTCCCTCCCATAACTCCAACTGGTAAAGTTGAGTCCCAGGGCTTGCCAATCCAAAGGTGAAATTATTTAATCAGATGGTTTTAAGTGATTATGAAATATAAGTGCTGGGCCTGATAAGCTTTTTCTTCTCATGTACCATGAAGTCTACCCACAAGCAGTCTAATGGCTAGTGCCACCATACTATGAAGGGAAAGCATCTCTGTATTTTTCAGCTGTTCCATATTTGTCTGTGGCTTTTGTCCTCATAGTATACAATGTATCACCTAAACTCCAGGAATGTATCTAACATCCAAAAAGGAAGGAATGAAGAGCAATCCTTGAAGAGAAAAAGCCATTGGAGAAAAAGCCCCTTCCCCCCTTTTTTTAGATTTTGAGAGAGCAAGCACAAGAAAGGGGAGTGGCAGAAGGAGAGGGAGAAGCAGACTCCCACTGGGCATGGACCCCGACAGGTGCTCAATCCCAGGATGCTGGGATCATGACCTGAGCCAAAGGCATATGTTTAACTGACTTGAGCCATCCAGGCACCTCAAGAAGGCTGTCCCCTTTTTGTAGCATTCCCAGAACACACACCAATGACTTCTGCCTACTTCTTATTAGCCAGGACTATGAAATATATTCTTCCCATAAACCTAAGGAAACCTGAAGTAGGAATGGTTGTGTTTTTTTTTTTAAACTATATACCTGGAGATAATCTGGATTCTATTTATAAGGAACCAAAGGACAAGGAATATTGAGATGACTAGATACTACTTACCATACAAAGCCAGCATTTTATGACCCACTTGCAAATACACTAGAGAGCATTAACCAAAAACAGAAAATGCTCTTATATTGACAGGACACCTGGGTGGCTCAGTCAGTTGAGTGTCCAACTCTTGGTTTCAACTCCAGTAACCATCTCATGGCCGCAGTCAGCAGGTAGTCTGCTTGAAAGCTTCTCTCCCTCTGTCCCTCCCCTAGCTCATGTGCACACATTTGCTGTCTCTCAAAATAAATAAATGACTTTTTAAAAAAATGCTCTTATATTGCCAATTAAACTTCCATATATCTCGTATAATTCAATGAAGACATATATATATGTATGTCTATATATATAGACATAGGGAATATGTGTGTGTATATATATATGGAAATGGAAGTCTTTAGAGCTGAACCATAATGAAAATTCCATTATATGAAATAATTTTGCAGAACTTCTATTTAGTGTCTTTAAAAGCAACTAAAACTTTGTAATACAAAATTACCACAGAAAATAAAAATGCTAGGTGCTTTCCTTGAGAATGACACACAGAAGGCAATTGCATTTATGTCATTTATTTCATTATGACTCCAGGAAGAATTCTCTTGTGTACAGTGATTGAAGAATAGTACCCGAAAGCTTCCCCCAAATTCCTCTCATTCATACTTTGTTCCTCCAGTATTTGAGTCTCTTAAGGGATATGTATTACAAAAAATCATTCCCACATTTTTACATTCATTCAGCTTCTTTCCAGGGTGGCTTTTCACATGTAGTGTAAGATTTATAAGATGGATACACCATTTCCCATGTACCCTACAGCCACTATTTCTCTCCAGTGTGGATTATTACTAAAGGTCAAAAGCCAAGTAATAGACACACACACAGACACAAAGGCATTACCATTATTTCTAACATTAACATTTTCTGCCTCTCTGAGATTACCAAAGAATGTTAACATCTAGGGCTAAGTATCTTACCATCATAGGGTTTCTCTTCACTGTGTTGTGACTTACTAACACCTGAAAATTTTTCAGCATTTCTTACATTCATGAGTCTCCTTGCATATGAAGCAGTCAAGAATCTCTAAAACCTTTCCTGAAGCTATCCCATATTTCTTAGATGTATAGAAATCTCTCCACTGTTTTTTTAAATGCTGATTCTTAAAAGATACAAGAAACAACTGCAGATCTTCCTGGGTCCTTTACATCTGTATGGTTTTATACCATCTGAAGTCTCATGTGAACATTAAGGCCTTGGCACTAAGGTTTTACCACATTCCTTAAGTACAGATGATTCATCGCTAGTGTGAGTTATTTGCTATCAAAGCATGTGGTCATATTTTAAGGCTATATAGATCATTCTTACCTTCACATCACTTTTACAGTAACTTCTTACCTATTTATAAGTAATCTCTATGTCCAACATGAGGCTCAAACTCACAACCCTGAGATCAAGCTTTACCAACTGAGCCAGCCAGGCACTCCTGACTTTTACAGTAATTTTGATATGTAAAATTAATGTTAGAGCAACAACAAAAAGGTTCTCCCACATACCTTGTAACTGGAAAGTTCTCTCAAGTATTGAGTTCTTAAGCATTCTTTAAGGTATGAACAATTACTGCTCTCTCATATACATTATATGAATGGGAATTCTGGCCTAGGAAGTTCCTACCTATCTATTAAGGATGAAAAATGAGTAAAGCTTTCTCACACATTCTTTACTTTCATAAGGTACTTTATCCAGATGAGGTTAGATATGAACACTAGTCTGAAAAACATTTACAGGTTTTTTTCACATGCCTTAGTTCTTAAATGTTTAGCAAGTGCCGAAGATTGAGTGAAGGTTTTCCCACATTCCTTACATTCGTATGGTTTCTCTCCAGTGTGAGTTCGCATGTGAATACTAAGGCATGTGGAGTATCTAAAGGCTTTCCCACATTCTTTACATTTGTACGGCTTTTCTCCAGTATGTGTTCGCATGTGCATGTTAAGATTTGTAGAACGAGCAAAAGCTTTCCCACATTCTTTACATGCATAGGCCTTCTCTCCAGTATGAGTTCTTAAATGTGTGGTCAGGCCTGATGACTGAGTGAAAGCTTTCCCACATTGCTTGCATTCATATGGCTTCTCTCCAGTGTGTGTCCTTACATGCTGATTGAGCATCGAAGAATTATTAAAGGCTTTCCCACATTCCTTACATACATAGGGTTTCTCTCCAGTGTGTGTTCGCACGTGTAAGACAAGTCCTGAGGAACGAGTAAAAGTTTTCCCACACTCCTTACATACATATGGCTTTTCTCCACTGTGAATTCTTATGTGTTTTGTAAGGTATGAAGAATGAATAAAAGCTTTTCCACATTCCTTACATTCATATGGTTTTTCTCCCGTGTGAATTCGCATGTGTAAAATAAGTCCTGTGGATCGAGTAAAGGCTTTCCCACATTCTTTACATTCATATGGTTTTTCTCCAGTGTGGTGTCTCATGTGTACCTTCAGGGATGACTGATTAACAAAAGTTCTCTGATAATCTTTGCATTCACACACTTTCTCTTGTATCTGAATTTTCTTGTGTCCAGTAAGATTTGAAAGCTGACTAAAGGCTTTATCATGTTGAACACTCTCAGAAGTTTTCTCCCCAACAGGGATTTCCTTGGGCAAAGTACAAATAAAGTTCTTTTTAAAGGCTTTTCCATTCTGATTATCCTTAGAAGTTTTCTGTCGAATGTGAGTTGTAAATGAGTGTCCACTAAATGCTCTTCCACAGATGTTAGAGCCATATCGTTTCACTCCAGCACTGCTTCTCTCCTGCTGATTAAGGTTTAAATGATAACTAAAGACTCTGCACTCACTATAACAGAATTTCTCCCCCATCACAACTTTTATGCATTGGAAACATCATAATTGAAGTGTTTTTTCCATTTCCATTTAAGTGTACAGACTTCCTGCTCTGTTTTTGAGTTATTTTAAGTAGAATAAACAGACTCTGAGGCTAAGACCCTGAATCATATTCTACAAGAGTATCCTCTGGTAATTATTCATACTGAATCATTTAAAACCTGTATTATTCTAAATCCCCAGTGCATGAAAAAACTGGACATCTGAGTTACATTTATGTGGATCTCTGAGGATAAACAGGTTTGAAGTAAGTTTAGAGTGCTCCTCAAATTCTTGATATTCAAAGAATCTCTTCAGAGATTCTGCTTTCTTTGGGTAAATGGCATTTATTTTATATAATTCGCATGGATTTTGTGCTTCTGGTCCTGATGTGGAAGAAAGGAATTACTTTTGGAGATCTTACCAATTTTATTTCATCTGATGTTTTTTCCAAAGAAATATTCTGAAGTGGTATGGAACCTTTGGTTTTGAGTTGCAATTCCAATTCTGAAAAAAAGTGGAAAATTTAGTTTGGGAGAAAATTCCTGGGATAAAGTTGTTTAAAAGCATAGAGAATGACGCTACAAAATATGATGGAGTAGGGAACTCCAGGACTCTTTCCCACCGGAAAACAACAAGCTCACAAAAACTATCAAAATCAACTATTACAGAACTTTAGAATCTAGTCAAAAATGTACAACCACCAAGGGAACACTTAACAGAAGCAGCAGCTTTAGTTCACCAAGAGAGTGCTGAGGCATTTTAATTACTCACCTACCATCCCCACTCTTCAGATCAGCTGCAGCCGTTTAGACAACAAGCGGTATCTTTGAGTAAGTTACAAGTACTAAAAAGAGCACTATGGACTTTGTTCTCAAAGAATTGCCACGGTGTGTTTGCATCTGTCTGCAGCTTCCTCAAGGGATGTGCCTTATATCAGCCAACTCAGAGAGTTGCCAACAAGACAGCATCTCAGACAACTACTGATGAAAGTGTCTAAAGGCAAGGTACCTGAGTGGCTCAGTCCGTTAAGTGTCCACCTTCAGCTCAGGTCATGATCAGGCCCAGCATTGGACTCTCTACTCAACAGGGAGTCTGCTTCTCCTTCTGCCCTCCCCACCGCTTATGTGCTCTCTCTCCCTGTCTCTCTCTCAAATAAACAAAATCTTAAAAAAAAAAAAAGAAAGGGAGGGGAGGGGAAGGGGAAGGGAGGAAGGAAAAAGTCTGAAGGCAATGTATTGCTTACCACAGTCCAAGGAAAAGGAAAGTATCTGAGACAAACAAAAGACACCCTGAAAAGCCTTAGAAGGAACAGACTGGGAAGGTTGATATGTGCATAAATGGGGCTTTTAAAACCTCAAATGTTGGGGCAACTGGGTGGCTCAGTGGTTGAACTTTGGCTCAGGTCGTGAACCCAGAATCCTGGGATCGAGACCTGCTTCTCCCTCTGCCTATCTCTCTGCCTCTCTCTGTGTGTCTCTCATGAATAAATAAATACAATCTTTAAAATAATAATAATAATAAAACCTCAAGAAGTCCACAAGCATGCCCAGGGCTAGATGCATGCTCAGAAAGGCTGGAGAGGACCCAAAGCTTTCACCTCTGGCTGACCTTCAGCATCCACTCCAACAGGAATGGAAGGCTAAAGAAGAGCTGTAGGTGGCCTAGCTAAACACTGAAGGAGTGGCTCAACACACAGCCAATTAACAAAAACTAAAAGAATACCTTTAGTTTTCTTTTCTTGGCTCCAGGTATTTAAGGAATTTCTGTCACTCTAAGGTGACCACTAAATTAACAGAACAAATTTCAGGGACTGCACTAAAAAAGAATGCAGAACACACAATTATTTATTTATTTATTTTTAAAGATTTTATTTATTTATTCATGACAGAGAGAGAGAGAGGCAGAGACATAGGCAGAAGGAGAGGGAAAGAAGCAGGCTCCATGCAGGGAGCCTGACGTGGGACTCAATCCCGGGTCTCCAGGATCACACCCCAGGGCTGAAGGTGGCACCAAACTGCTGGCACCGAGAGTTCCCTACAAAAATAATTTAAAAGACAAAACAAACACCAACAATACAAAACAAGCAGCAACAGCAAACTCAGGGAGAAGTGAATCAGATTTTTTAATTGCCACATTATGATATCTAAAATTTACATTTCCAACTAAAATATATGAGGTATGCAAAGGAACAATAAAAAAAATACAAATTATTCCTGAAAGCCAAGGCATTGGACTTATTAATAACTTTGAATCAATTTGTTTCAACACACCCAAGTTGCTAACAGAAACCATGAACAAAGACCTAAAGAAAACTCCAAGAATTATGCCTCACTAAAGAGATTGTCAATAAGAGACAGAAATTACAAAAAAGAACCAATTAAAATTCTGGAGCTGAAAAGTACAGTATCAAGAATGAGTGGTACTGGAAAAAGGATAGATATCTACAGAACAGAACAGAATCCAGAATAAAAAACCCATATATCTAGAATCAATATATTCTCGACAGGTGTGCCAGGACCATTCAATGGGGAAAGAACAGTCTCTTCAACACACAGTACTAGGATAACTGGATATCTTTATGCAGAAGAATCAAGCTGGACCCCTACCTCACACCATATATACAAATTCACTCAAAGCAGGTCAAAAACCTAATGTAAAGGCTAAATGTATAAACTCTTAGAAGAAAACAAGGGGGTAAATCTTCAGAACCTGGGATTTGACAATGTCCAATCTTTTTATCTTATTCTTAGATGACATCAAAAGCACCAAAAAACAAAACAAAACAAAGATAAATTGGAGCCCACTGCAATTAAAAATGTGTATCAGGGACGCCTGGGTGACTCAGTGGTTGAGTGTCTGCCTTTGGCTTAGGGCATGATCCTGGAGTCCCAGGATCGAGTCCCACATCAGGCTCTTTTCAAGGAGCCTGCATCTTCCACTGCCTCTGTCTCTGTGTCTCTCATGAATAAAGTCTTTTTAAAAAAAATGTAAATCAAAGAACACTATCAAAAAAGCAAAAGGATAACCCCAGAAATGGAAGAAAATATTTGCAAATCATCCATGCGATACAGGTCCACAATTAGAGTACAGAAAGAATTAATATGCTTCAACAACAACAAAACAAACAACCCAAGGTTCAACATGGACAAAGAACTTGAATTGGTGTTTCTCCAAAGACACAGAAATGGTCCATAAGTACACAAAAAGTGTCCAACATCATTTATTTTAAGGAAATGCACATCAAAATCACAATAAGATACCACTTCATACTTATTAGGATGGTTACTATCAAAAAAAAAAAAAAGGAAAGGAGAGAAGGCAAGAGGGAGGAAGAAAGGAAGGAAGAACTGATGGCAAGGAGTAACTGCTACACTGCTGGAAGGAATATAGTATAGGCTCTGCGTAAAATAGTTTGGTAATCCTTAACAAGTTAAACATAAAATGACCATATGCCCCCACAATTCTACTTCTAGGCAAGTTAACAGTTATGAAATTGAACTCTGTATGATTCTATTTGATATCTACAGAATAGGTAAATTTGTAAATCAGAAAGTAGATTAGTGGTTGCAGGGAATAAGGGAAAGGCTGAATGGAGGCTGATTGCTTAGTGGTTATAGGGTTTCCTTTTCAAGTGATGAAAATATTTTGGAACTAAAAGGAGAAAATGGTTGCACAACACTGTGAATGTACTCAATACCAATAAATCATACTCCCTAAAATGATTAATTCTTGTGTACTTTATCTCAAAAAAAAAGCATAATGGCACATACATGTCTGAATATGCTGAAACATGATAAAAAGGTTGAAACAAAAGGGAAGTTGCACTACACAGAGTATGGCTGTGTTAGCAGTCTGGCAATGATAAGGGTATGGTGTCAAAATTTTAGGCAATCTACAAAGCTTAATATTCTTAATATTCTAGGCTGATAGTACACAAAAAACACTGATAGAATCAGGAAAACAAGATGGAAAGTACTGTAAAATAAGCTGTCTGCAAGTAATGAAATTTTCAATTGAGTCAGACAGATCTTTCTGGGAGAACAGGAAAAAGTTGAGATCAATGGAAATTTAAAGATATAAGGAGCTGAATGTTCCTCAGCAAACTCAGAAACCAAATGGCTTCAGGCTTCTCAGAAAAAAAGAGTATTTCTTTGAAAGTTTGCCTAGTGGCATTTCCAAATGTACTGCACCTTTCCCAGACTAACATCGCTCGTCACAAAACTTTATTCATGAACTTACCCTGGAGAACTCCTCTCCCTCCTGTCCTCAGCTCTTCTGCTACTTCCACTGTAGAGTTGAGACCAGGTTGGCATGATTCATATCCTGCTTACAGGAAAAATACATAAAGAGGACCTTGCACGACACAAAATGCAGTCTTTGGGTAGGAACCAACACTTTAGCTTCAGAGTTTCTTTAGACACTTCAGTGTCACTCCACAAACAGCAAAATAATCACACAAAATTTTAAATCAATGCAATAAGACTATTCTAAAAGGAACAAAAATGTAAGTATATTCTTTCTCTGTGCCCTCAAATGACTAGAGAGCTCTAACACCTGAAAATCATGTACAGCCTCACACACATTTAAAGTCTTATGGTTTGGGGTACTTGGGTGGCTCAGTTAAGTGTCTGCTTTTGGCTCAGGTCATGATCCTGGAGTCCAGGGACTGAGCCCCACAGTGGGCTCCCTGCTCAGGAGTCTGCTCTCCCTCTCCATCTGCACCCCCCACCCCAGCTCATGCTCTCTCTTGCACGTGCACACACACGCATGTGCCCTCTCTCTCTCCCAACTAAATAAAATCTTTAAAAAGAAAGAAAGTCTGCCTGTTTTCAGTCCCTAAAAGGAATAAAGTCATTTATTTAGACAGATCTTCATTTTCACAGGGAACCTTCTAGATCGTAAGGCACCTAAGGCCAGGGGTTGTTTGTCTTGTTTACCACAGTATTCTCATTTGACAATAGAGATACTTAAGAAACATTCATTTCGGGATCCCTGGGTGGCGCAGCGGTTTGGCGCCTGCCTTTGGCCCAGGGTGCGATCCTGGAGACCCGGGATCGAATCCCACATCGGGCTCCCGGTGCATGGAGCCTGCTTCTCCCTCTGCCTGTGTCTCTGCCTCTCTCTCTCTGTGACTAAAATAAATAAATAAATAAATAAATAAATAAATAAATAAATAAATAAATAAATAAATAAATAAAATACATACATACATACATACATACATACATACATTCATTTCGTAAAGGGCTCAGTGAAAAAATTATGCCAGCCCTACCTAGAGTAATGAGATTCTGGTAGTTCTCCAACATCACATCTCTGTAGAGATCTCTCTCTGCTTGATCCAACAAAGTCCACTCCTCCTGGGTAAAGTCCACAGCCACATCCTCGAAGGTCACTAAGTGCTAAATAATCAAATACATGGCAGCTTCAGCTAACTACCATCTTCTTTGAGGTTCTCAGGAAGATGTATGAGGGACTGAGGAAGGTAGACTAGAAGCCTACAGTACTCCTGGGCCCAGACCTCTTCTTTCTAGCCACAGATGCTGCCTGGTGCTTATAGCCACTCACATGGACTTACCAGCATTACTGACACATGACTAAACTTCTGTTACCACAACCTTACTGTGGGTTCTTCTTGCTTTATTCCTCCTCTATTTATTGGCTGCAGTTAGCACTGAACACAACACTAAAGTCTACTAACAGGTGAATTATTTCCATGGTAACACACACATTCCAGGAGATTAGACACTTTCATATCATTTCTCAGTATCATAACACTCAGCAAAATGGTAAGCCAACAAAAGCGTGACTAAAGATCAGAAAGAATGAATATTGAGATAAAAGAATCATTTCCGGGGATCCCTGGGTGGCTCAGCGGTTTGGCGCCTGCCTTTGGCCCAGGGTGCGATCCTGGGAGTCTCAGAATCGAGTCCCACGTCGGGCTCCCGGCATGGAGCCTGCTTCTCCCTCCTCCTGTGTCTCTGCCTCTCTCTTTCTCTCTCCCTCTCTATGTCTATCATAAATAAATAAACCTTAAAAAAAAAACCATTTCCAGTGTAATCTCTATATATTCTGAGATGGCATGAGTCCTGGAGAAATTGACTTGGGACTCATTCCTTAAGCAGGGCCATTAATTGCTTTCAGAAGCCTGGGGACATTACAAGGAGATATGGCTACCTGACAAATAAGCCTGACATTTGAAGGTCAACTTTCCACTTACCTGAGAAGAATCCTTAAGTAACCCAGCCACCATCCTTGCCTCAATTTTTCCCTCATGAAGACAGAAAGGGTCCCAAGAAAGATGACCTCAGAGAGAAGAAAACCATGAACTCTGAAGCCAATCCAATTCCAATAATCACATTCATAAGCTATCCCACACCACGCACAGAACATATCACACACTAATTTCATAAACTGATAAAGTGCTCTGAGTTACCTGGAGCAAGAAAATTGTTTTCTGGATCTTGCTACCCATGAGGACCTGGTTATATATTCCATCTCAGAGTTACACAAATTACAGTACAGAGAGGCAGAGCTGTTTGACACAACAGAATTCATGAACATGTTAACCCCTCAAAAAGCACACACAACTTCTTGTATCCCAAATCCCAGGAACCTGATTTACACATGCTCTGCTCATTTCTGTTGTTCTTATATGGCCCACTGCATGGTCACTCAGCCCCTAAGCACTGGATCTGCCATTTGTGAAGGAACTATACGAAAAGAAGCATCAACAAGGACTCACCACACACCTGATTCACATCAAGGGCTGCCATCCTGTGAGTTTGAGAGTAAAAGTTTCCAGAATATTCCAGTTCTTGCTCAGAAGACCAGAGAAGCTTTTGAGGTTAAATCAAGAGGCTGATCTCAATTTCTCTTTGAGTACTGGAGTGTCTGGGTAACTGGTTCACAATATCCATCATTAAGCAACAGACGTTTTTCCTCAGTCATCAGACATCACTCTTTAGCCATCTCTGTGCAGATGAAACATGACAGCCATTTTAAAAACTGTCTACTATCCTACCATGCAAATATTAATACCAACCTCTGTTTACTGAGCACTGTTAGTACTTCTACATATATGAACTCCTTTAGTTGTCCTAACATCCCTCCAAATTGGGTATTAATAACTGACATTTAATAATTGAGAAAATGGAGGTTCACACAGGATTAAAAACTGGCTCAAATCACTAGTTAGGAAAAGAAAGCCAGGCAGACACATGTTGGTATGGCAAGAGCCTTATCTCTTGTAGTAGCTCTTACTCCTGAGATGACCAGAATTCAGTCCACATCCTCTGCTAGGCATAATGGAGATGAGAAATACAAAAGGTTTTATGAAGTAAGAAGTCCCCCTGAGTACTGCCTGCTGGAGCTAGGTTGCATTTGGAACCTTTGCCTCCCTTTGTCTCATTCCTTCATTCAGTTAGCAAATATTAGTAAGGGCCTTCCTCTTGCCAGGCCAGGTACTCGGCAATGAAGAGGGAACAGTTCTTAGGGATCTCACAGTTCAACTGGACAATGCAGGTAAGAAACAGGTAAATTAATTATCAGTTGGTGATGAGCGGTAAAAAGAATCAATCCCATTAAAGTATAACGAATACCACACATACACAAGTATATTCACAATATAAAGATAAGACTGGTTAAAGATAGGATAAAGACAGAATAGAGAAATAATCACTTCAGAGGACTGTGATAAGTGATAACTCACTTAAAAAGTAAGTGTCCGGGACACCTGGGTGGCTCAGCGGTTGAGCATCTGCCTTCGGCTCAGGGTGTGATCCCACAGTCCCACGATCGAGTCTCACACTGGGCTCCCTGCATGGAGCCTGCTTCTCCCTCTATGTCTCTGCCTGCCTCTCTCTGTCTCTCATGAATAAATAAATAAAATCTTTAAAAAAAAAAAAAAAAAAAGTAAGTTTCCAGGGCCAGCCCAGGTGGCTCAGCAGTTTAGCACTGCATTCAGCCCAGAGCATGATCCTGGAGACCCGGGATTGAGTCCCATGTCAGGCTCCCTGCATGTAGCCTGCTTCTCCCTCTGCCTGTGTCTCTCATGATTTTAAAATCTTAAAAAAAAAAAAAAAAAAAAGTGTCCAAATTTTGACCCAAAGATATCCAAATTTGAGTATCATAAGTTTAGAAAAACTCAAAAAACATTTTTCATGTTAGCTACTCCAACAGCATCTGAATGTCAGGTTTTTTTATGTTAAAACTGAAGGCTTTCTATATTATCTCACAGTTAACTACAAAAACTAGTATACAAATATATCGTGCGTCTTTTCACCCTTTCTTACTACTGATCAATTCTACTTTCTTCCAAGAAGTATTGGTTTTTATTTTTAGTCATCCTTTCAGTACATTTCCTTCTACTTCTATAATTCTTGCTCAACCTGATGAAGTAGCAGAGTTTCATTTCTTGAACTTCTTTTCTTGAATTACAAGCATACATACAACTAAGGAAGGCAATCACTGAATAAAAATCTCAATGAAGTATTAAGAAATGAACAGCACCGGGCACCTGGGTGGCTCAGTGGTTGAGAGTCTGCCTTCGGCTCCAGTCATGATGCTGAGGTCCTTGGGATGGAGTCCCGCATCAGGCTCCCCAGAGGGAGCCTGCTTCTCCCTCTGCCTGTGTCTCTGCCTGTGTCTCTGTATCTCACGAATGAATAAAATCTTAATCAAAGAAAAGAAATGAACAGCCCCATAAATCATCATTCAGGTTGAGAAATAGAGTATTTCCAAATTCAGCATCTTAGACATGTCTCTTTTCCAAATCACCAACTCCATGCCTCCCAACTGCAACCACTATCCTGACATTTAACACTCTAGAGCATTATGCGTATTTTTTAATTTTAAAGAAAGAATATCAAACAGCATGCGTTCTTTTGTGTCTGGCTTCTTTCACTTGACATTGTGTTTGTGACATTCATCCAAGTTGCATCTGTGCTCCTTCCCTTTGCTAATAAAGAGTATGCCACAAAAAATATATGCCACCATTCATCCATTCGTCCGTTAATCCACTTTAGGTTATTTCCAATTTAGGGATATTTCAAATCATGTTACAAATAGCGTTTATATTCAGTTGGTGGACATGTGCGTGCATAGGATGAACAGATCGTATTTAACTGATACTTTTAAAAAAGTGTTTCCACTAGCAGTGTATGCACATGTCAACCAGCACTTGGCACTGCCACTCTTTTTAGTATTACTTCAGGTCACTCAGCGTGTGCGGTAGCACCACACTGTGGTTTCTATTTACAAATCTCTGCGGTTTCTATCTGTGGTTGCTAATGATATGAAGCATCTTTTCATATATTTATTGTCCATTTGTCTTTTTTTTTTTTTTGAAGAGCCTATCCAAATTTCTGGTTCATTTTTCACTTTGGGTATTCATTTGTAGGCGTTATTACATAATTCCTTTGTTGTTACATGTGAGACAATAAACCAAATACTAAAGATCGAGTATCAGGCCTGCAAGTTTTTTTAATCTTACTTTCGAAGGGTTTATCATACACACTTAAATATACACATGGAGGGGGATATAGAAAGGGGTACACCACGCATGCAAAATGCTAACAAACGGTCAATGGGCAACAAGATACACCTGAACAAGTCCTCGAACTTCAGTAACGGGCGCCCACGGCCAGAGCACTTCCGTCCAGCGCTCACCAGAACGCCGCGCCATCTCCAGGTCGGGGAGGAGAGGGCACTGCGGCCGTTTCCACCACTGCGTCCACGCTTCTCCTCTGGAGAAAGGGCAGCACAGAGTTTGTTCTGGCAGCTTTTGAAGTGGGGCTCGGGCGGAGAGAAAGGCCCTGCCTCCACCGGGGGCCCCGCCACGGCCCCGACTCCCAGCCGCGCGGGCGGAGGCGCAAGAGCCTCTCGGAGGGACCCGGGCGGCCGCAGCCGCTGGGGCGTCGTGTGCCGACGGCGAGGACGCGCCCCGAGTCCGAGCAAGCCACGGAAGTTCGAACCCGCGGGTGTGAGCGCCGAGCGGAGGCCGACAGAGCAGACAACCCGCCCTCCCACGCAGGGCGCAGCGGGAAGTGAAACGGTATCCGTCGAGCACTTCCGCTTCCGGTTTCCGCCACGAGGTCAGCGTAAGGGGCGGGGCCTCAGGAGCATCCGGTCGGGCTGGGGGTGGCGGCCGCCTCTTCCGGACGCCAGGGGAGGCCGCTGGCCCTGGGCGCGGGGGCCCGAGGTGGAAGAGTGACGGAGGCGGTGGGCGGGGTTTGCGGCCAGGTTCCGGGTCAAGGGAGCTCGGCAAACGCTTTTCTACAAGTCTTTCTCCTTGTTGGTTCAGCCTCGCTCAGAGCTTTGCATTTTTATAAAGATGCTACTAGGGGATCCCTGGGGGGTCAGCGGTTTAGCGCCTGCCTTGGGCCCAGGCGGTGATCCTGGAGACCCGGGATCGAGTCCCCCGTCGGGCTCCCTGCATGGAGCCTGCTTCTCCCTCTGCCTGTCCCCCCTCTCTGTGTCTCTCACGAATAAATCAATAAAATAAAAATAATAATAATAATAATAATACTGCTAGTCCGTAAAATGAATTCCCAGCTCATTCAGCCCTCTTTTTAGACCTTTAGTCTTGAGACAATTCTCACAGCGCATAATCAACCCGTTTTAAATGTACCGTACAAGATTATTAAAAGTTTTAAAATGTAACTGATGAATCAGTATTTGATCATTGTCTTGATTTTTTTATTAAAATGTATATTTCTAATCATATTTTATAAACCCTGGTTGAATGAATGAACTGGTTGAATGAATGTTTATTTTCCTGAAGGTATTTTTAAGATAAAGCTTCATAATGGCCCGTAAACTTTGCATATCTATGTAGTTTGATACATATTGTCGAGTTTGAAAATCTTGTGTATGGTACTGGTTTTATACAAAATATTGAATAGGGAAAGTTGTATAATTATAATCATATAATTAAAAGTATTAACCAAACAAAAATAAAAAATAAATAAAATGTACCGTACAGTGGGTGTGTAGTACTAGTAGTAGCTGTAGTCAGAGCTGTGTTGGCATCACCACAGTCAATTTTAGTACGTTTTCATAATGAAAAGGAAACCCGGTACCCTCTTAGGTACAATCCCCACCTAACCCCAAGCCCAAGGCAACAACTAATCTACTTTTTGTCTCTAGGGATTTGCCTATTCCCCCATTACATGTAAGCAAAACATTACAGTATATGCCCTTTGTGTCTAGCTTCTTTGACTTATATAAGGTTTTCAAGGTTCGTCCATGTTGTAGCATGTTACTAGAGTACTTCATCTTTTTCTTAATAATATTCCACTGTCTGGGTGTGTCATAATTTATCTATTCGTTAGTTGATGAACACTGAGTTACTTCCACTTTTTTGACTATTACGAATAATGTAGGATATTTTTTGAATAGTGATCAGAGGAAAATTCATATTCCTAAACGTTTTTAAGATATTATTTATTTGGGGATCCCTGGGTGGCTACAACAACTCTTTCTGTCCAGGTCATCATCTGGGGGTCCTGGGATCCATCCACCTTCAGGCTCCTTGCTCAGAACGGAGTCTGCTTGAGATTCTTTCCCTCTCCCTCCCCTTCAGTTCCTCCCCCCATCCCCACTCCTCACTCTCTCTCTATAAGTAAATAAATATTTAAAAACTAAAATTTTGGGGCAGCCCGGGTGGCTCAGCGGCTTAGCACCTGCCTTCAGTCCAGGGCGTGATCCTGGAGATGGGGGATCGAGTCCCACATCGGGCTCCCTGCATGTATCCTGCATCTCCCTCTGCCTGTGTCTCTGCCTCTCTCTGTGTGTGTCTCTAATGAATAAATAAAATCTTTTTTAAAATTTTTAAAAAATATATTTTATTTGTTTGTTTGAAGAGAGAGATATAAGAGAGAGCAGAGCAGAAGGGAGGGGCAGAGAGAGAAGCAGGATCCCTGCCGGGCAGAGAGCCCAACTTCAGACTGGATCCCAGGACCCTGGGACCATGGCCTGAGCCAAAGGCAGAGGTTTAACGGACTAAGCCACCCAGGTGCCCCTTCCTACACGTTTTTATCCTTAAAATGAGATAATAAAAATAAATATCAAGCTAAAAAAAAGAGAAATAGAATATCATTGCAAACCAACATAGGTTATATAAGAACTTAACACTACAAAAGAGCATCAAGCCCAGATGGATTGGTATTTGGCTGAGTGGGGGTGGTAACAGATTTATTGAGACTACACATACGATTCACCCATTTAAAGTGTACATTCAGTGATTATTATATTCAGAGTTGTGAAACCATTACCACAACCAGTTTTAGAACATTTTCACTACCCCCAACTCCCCATCCCATCCCCAACCCTAAGCAGCTACTAATCTATTGTCTCTATAGATTTGCCTATTCTGACAATTTCATATAAGTTTTAAAAAATACTATGTGCTCTTCTGTGACTGATTTATTTTACATAGCATAAGCTTTTCAAGGTTAATCTATGGTGTAGCATTTATCAGTATTTTCTTCTTTTTTAAGTGTAATTTTTAAAATAATCTCTACATGCAATGTGAGACTCAAACTCATGACTCTGAGATCAAGAGTTGCATGCTCTCCTGACTGAGCCAGTCATGTGCCCCAGTATTCTATTATTTCTAATTGATGAATAATATTCCTATCAGTAGGTGGACATGTGGGTTGTTTTCACTCTGTCCATTGTGCACAATGCTATGAAATACTGTTGTACAAGTTTTTATGTGGACATGTTTTCATTTCTTTTAGATATATGCCTAGGACTGGAGCTGCTGGGTCATATTGTAACACTGTGTTTAAGCTTTAGAGGATCTGGCTATTTTCCAAAGTGGCTACACCACTTTACAATCTCGCCTGCCTCTTATGAGGATTTCAGTTTCTCCTCATGCTTGCCAAAACTTAATATCTTCTTTGTTTTTAATTATTATAGGCATCCTGGTTGAGGTGAAGTAGTATTTCATTGCTAGTTTTCATTTTAATTTTCCTGATGACTAGTAGATATTGAGTATCTTTGCATGTGTTTATTGGCCATTTTTTTGTCTTATGGGGAGAATTTTACATTGAAATCCTTGACTATGTTTAAATTGTGTTATTTACCGTTTTATTATTGGACTCTAAGAGGTCCTTATGTACTCATGATGTCAGCCCCTTTTCAGACATAGAATTTCCAGGTATTTTATCCTGTTCAATAGATTGTCTTTTCACTTCTTTTTGGTGTCCTCTGAAGTACAAAACAATTTAATTTTGATTGAAATTCAAACTGCCCAACTGTCCATTTTTTTTTCCTTTGGTTGCTTATGCTTTTGGTGTGAAATTTAAGAAACCACTGTCAAATCCAAGATCACTAAAGATTTACCATCACGTTTTCTTCTAAGAATTTTGTGCTTTCAGCTCTTACATTTAGTTCCTTGATCCATTTTGAGTAATTTTCAAATATGGTGTGAGGTAGATATCCAGTTGTATTATTTTGTGTATGAATATCCAGTTGTCCCAGTACCATTTGTTGTAAAGACTATTTGCTTTCCTACTGAATTGTTTTGGCACCCTCACCAACCATCATTGGACCATAAATGTGAGCCCAGGTTTTTCAGTTAGGGGTACTATACCTTCAAAGTTCAGATATTTGTATTACTCCATAAGTTTTTTTCAGAGCAATGAGAATGAAGAAAAACTTCCCAATTCCTTTTAGGAAGCAAGATTACATTCATATAAAATCTAGTAGAATATAAAAATAGAATATTACAAAGCCATATATATGAATGGCTTTGAATACTAATGAATATTGATTCAAATGAGTTATGTTAAATATTAGCAAAAAGAATATAAAACCACAGGGGTGCCTGGATGGTATAGTCAGTTAAGTATCTGATTCTTGGTTTTGGTTTAGGTTGTGATGTCAGAGTCATGGAATGGAGCCCCACATCAGGTTCTGGGCTCAGCTCGGAATCTGCTTAAGATTCTCTCTCTCTCTCTCTCTCTCTCTCAATAAATAATAAATAAATAAATAAATAATAAATAAATAAATAAATAAATAAATAAATGTTTTTAAAAGAATATGAAACCACATTAGGAAAATAATAATCTTGAGCAAGTGAAATTTACTCTAGAAATTCAAGGTTTGTAATTAGGAAATCTATTAAATAATATACCATATCAATATATTTAACAAGTCATATGATTATATCCATAGATGCTGATGAAACCTTTGACAAAATTCAACATCCATTATTGATAAAAGCACTCAAAAAAATAGAAATTGATGAATATTTTCTTAAGATGATTGCCTATGGGAAGGTCCCGGGGTGGCTCAGTTGGCTGTGTCCAGCTCTTGGTATTGGA